GATTCGCACCTTTGCTTTTAAAGTGTATAGATCATATTGATTTGATTCATGTCAAATATGAGTTTCCAGAATTAAAAACGGGACAATTCACAAAAATGCGACGAGAAACTAAGACATTGGCGTGCCTCGCCTCAAAGAATAAATGTAGAGCTGTGCACCATCACAAAAATGTAAATATACAAAAGGAATAGAGGATCTCTGAAAACAGACAACAATGACATTGTTCACGCTCCGAAAACATGAGAAGACCAATGCTGTTAGTGTAATCGTCAAAGATGTCCGCCTTCCACCTCCCTTAGAAGACCTCATTATAAATAATTGTTGGGAAAAGAGGGTGGATGGCGAATAGCCTGCCATCCGACCTCCAATTTTATGTAGACATCAAATACTATTTGCAATGTTATTGTGTGAAGAATGGTTTAATACTACCCAACAAAATTACGGTGGAACAAGAAAAGTTGCAAGATGCATCATGCACACATCTGCGAGAAAGCATCAAAGAAAGGATTAAAAAAAAATAAACATTCTCGCCAACCCCACTGCCGGCTTTGCCCAGAGGCTCACCCTGCGCCTTCCTCCTCGAACCCGGCGGGGAGGGCCTCTTCATGGCCAAGGTCGTGTCCAGCTCGCTCGCCGTGGCGGCTGTGGCCCCCGCCTGCGGCCCGGTACGGCCCGGCCGGCTCAAACGGCACGTAGAAGATGGCCCCGAAGGAGCCCAGCGGTGGCACGCCAGGCACCAGCGGCCCACAACGCGTCTCACGCCAACAGTGCGGCCGGCTCGAAATTGCACACGGACGAATGGGGACGAAAAGAAATGCGAGGTGTAAAAAAAAAGTTTAAAAATAGAATTTTGAAAGGAGCAGCATTTTTTTTATTTAGTAAACGCACGCAGTGGGTACGGGTATTCAGTCTTTACAACAGAACTGAAAGTATGCAGTAAATAGTGCACTGTTAAAATAAATTTCGTGATTTTACGAAATTTTCTCGGTTAATTTTCCAGTACGAAAACTTCGTTTTTAACCAATTACGATACATCGTTATTTTACGAATTGCTTCGTAAAATCCAAAGCTTTAACTAAGGGGTATGAAATTTGCATATATTTTGTCAAATTTTATGACATATGACCCCAAAAGTATTTGCATTCGTTACGAAATATATTTGTAACTTTACGAAATGTTTCGTAAATTGGCCCTAACGAAATATTTTCGTAAATTATTTTTTACGAAGCATTTCGTAACACTTTTTTTCGTAAAATCACGAAAACTTTTTACAGTGTGTACTTCAGCGCATGTAAAAAAAAAGGCTAACAACAAACATTTTAATGATCAGAGGTGGTCCCGAAAAATTGCCAGGTGACTGACTTACCCTGCGCACTTTTGTAAAGTTATGCTGTAT